GTAGGGAAAATACCTGAAATCCTACAATTAAGACTTTTGGTCCTTTTTGCTTTTAAAAGGCTTTGCTTGACATGCTAATGTGGAGTAGACACCTGTTCAGAAACTTATGCAAGTGTGCAGTCTGTGCATAAGTGGGGTCAAAGTACAATTTGTGGCTAGATACATTTTTTCCAGTTTAAATAATCTCACTAACCATTAACTATTGAATATCTTTTGATAAGATGGCTGGACAAATAATTTTACTCTTTTAGGGAGTGAAGTCCATGACATCTAATTTTACTCTAATCCAAAGTGTGTGTGGTTTTTGTTTTTGTTTTTTAAGTTGATGTGACAGCTTACCGAAGAGCAGAGTACTGTGGGTTTTGCTCCATGTTTGTTTGAACCTTAATCTGACATTGTGGCTTTTGTTAGATCTGGGCAGTTTGTGCTTCAGTGTTTTTGAAACAATGGCTTGATACCATTTCTAAATGTATGTATTATAACTAATTATGTTTAGTTTGGTGTGTACCTGCAGAGTGCCATCATTCAGATGAATCTCTTAATTTGTGTTGCTCGTTCTGTTGTGCAGGTTCATAATATTGGTAAACTACTTAAAACTTCAGAGTGTAATGAAAACAAACGTCTAAAACTATCTGATTCTAATTCTCATTAGCCAGAATTTCGTAATCTCAACATTGGATGTTCTTTGTAACAACCAATTGTTTCTTTTACTTTAAAAAAAAATGTATTTGTTTAATTGATTTTTTTGGAACTCAGTTCAAATGAATGGCAAGAATTTCTTCAGGGTATCATTAAACGACTTATTAAGTATTACTGGTAAAAAAAAAAATAAACCATCAAGCTAATTTAGATTTTTAATCACAACTTCAAAGTTTATGAAAAATTAATCATTCAGCTCCTAGCCAATGTTTTTATATTATTTTGTTGGTTATAACTGGGATCCCTATAAAGAGTTTTCCACGCAAAAAATTAAAATTCCTGGTTTAAGATGTATATTTTGACTCTCACCTGAGAGTAGATAAGAGTTTTCCCTTTAAGGATATAACTTAAAATGTCCATCCTCTGGCTGGTATAAGCTCTTGTCACATTTTGAAGGTAGTATATATACTCTGGACCTTCTTAACTCAGATCATTTGAGGTACAATAGTAAAAGTAAGGTGTGTGTTGCTTTCTGAGTCAAACACTTGTTTAGGTTTATTTTAAAACTATTTTATGAGCAGGTTTTCACTGACAATTTTTTTGTTGTTTTTTGTCTTTTTGATTTTAAATCCACTTTCTTCAGACAGTGAAATTGCTCATTTGCAGGTACAGCTTGAACTGCAGTTTGGCTCCCTATAGGAACCACTCACCAAAAACTGTGGTAACAGAACTAGGAAATCCTGTTGAGAAGAGGGCCTTAATGACCTTTTTTGTGAAAAAATTTTTGGAGAGAATTTCTGGACATTTTTTTTCTGTCTCTGCCACAGTGTTTGGTTTGGAGATAGGAGTTAGGTATGAGAACAAGAAGAGAAATGGAGCTGACCCTGTTAACATTCTGGTTATAGTGATGTGCCTAAAGGGAGAAAACGATTTCAGGTAACCACGGTGAACTGTCTAGCTTAATGAAGAGTTTTATATGTATGATGTAAACAGAGTTGGAAAGTAAAAGTCCTACAGTGTTCTTTGGCTGTTTAGCGATTGTTTGTATGAGGGTTTTCTTAAAAGAAAATAACAGCTGCTGTCTTTGGTAACACAGATGAAGGTGGATTTTTAAAAGGCTTTGTATCTTGACCCCTTTGTACAGTAATGGAGTAGGTCTGTATTGCTCCATATAAATTACAGAATGAAAATAGAGGGGGTAAAAGTTTGACTAAACTCCACCTTTTTATAGTTTCATTTTTTAAGTTATATTTAGAATATATTGATTATAAATTGATTGTAAACTTGCTTTTTTCTGATATGTTTTACTCAGTTACATGAGTACCAAGGATATTTTCAGTCCTATAATCCTCACTTAATTGCAGTCTTTAAAAAAAAAATCCACCCTATTGTTCTACTTGTTGTCTATTCATACAGTAAATTCATTTCAAGGTTTGTGCCAGTGGGTATTATTGGTGCTTTTTGAAGTCAAGGTGGACTATCCAGGAAGGTCTTGTTAATGTTATGTTTAGCTATAATGGCATAGGGGAAATATATATATTTTTAATATTGTAAACGTTTGTACTGAATAACCTTTTTCCCCTCCCCCCCCGCAAGCAAAACTGGTGAACAACGGATGAAGATACGGAATTCAAAGCTCTAATGGACCTTTTTGAAGAGAAGTTGTGGCTTATGTGGAGTTTACATGGGCCTCTTGATGGAAGAAAGCTAATCTGTTTAGTATTTGTGCATTTTACTAAAATGGCAGCTTAAAGTTGTGTATCTGCTATTGTGATGCCAATGCCGGTGTTTTAAGTGGAAAAAAAATGACCTTGCTTTGTGCTGTGTACACAAGATTTCTGGAAAAGAAAAACCCTTTTTATGGCTCACACAGCTTAAAAGTAGCTGTCACTCAAACGTGCGCTCACAGTTGAGCTGCTTTTGTTTTATTCTAAATAAATTGTTTCTTTTGAGGAAAATGTTTTTCTGCCTGGAAGTGAATTGACGGCAAACCTTTGACCCCTTTGTTTGCAGCTGAGGGGGTACTTGCTGCTGCTCAGATCTTGTATGTCCTGAGCAAGAAGCAGGGAGACCATCATTTTGACTATCACAGTGTGTCAATTCTGAAGGATCACTAGTGTTACTGTGACCCCCTTTGTTTGCAGTGAAGGGGATCATTTGCTTCTCAGTCCTCAACTTGATGAGGAAATGGTGCTGTTTGCTGGCACGCAAGAAGCCGGGGCAAGCACCGTAAGCCTCACCACAGTGCACGAGTCGGGGGCTTTGCTGGTTTGAAGAGCCGGAGTTGCTGAAATTTAAGTTTTGATTTATTTTGTTCACCCATCACGTTTGGCCTTAGTTTCATTTTTAATTTGAAGAAAAGTTTGAAATTGCTTTATCTTGCTCTTAACATTTGCACCAAATTGCCAAAAGAAGGAGAAATGCTCCGCTTGCTTTTTAAATGTTAATGATGATGTTAATAAAGCCTTTCCTGACACATTTGAGGAGCTCCTCCATCTTCAGGGGCTTCTTACCAGAGTTATGCAGTGATGGGTTTAGTTCTGAATGGATGAAGAGTTCCTGAGAGCTAGCGTTTGTAATTAGAACCGTTACTTGGTATCTGTGCCTTATTTGACCTGTGGTTCCACATGCCTTGGATGTGCATGCACCGTGACGGTTTCATAGGTACGAACGCACACTCAGGCCCAGTCACTTCGGTTGGTAGTACAGATTGTGAGGAAAAAATGGAGGCATCCTTAAGGAGGAAAAAGTGTTTGCCTTTAGTTCCTGCATTATCCTGTACAGGGGCTCCTGAGCTTTGGAAGCTGTTTCCAGTACAGGAGAACAACTCCCCTGTTTGCAGCAGGAGACTTCGGTGCACAGTGACAACGCTGGAGTTCAAGAGGAAGCCAGCAGTGCTGCACCATTGCCTTCAGACACCATTGTTGTTTGCCAGTTTTAAACTTAACTAGTTGCAGACGAAGACCACCTTGAAATGCAGGCTTGTTGGGCTTGTTTTGAATTTTAACCTCGGATGGAAGAGGCCTAGTGCTGTCTGTCTCCATGCGGGATGATGATTACTTAGGCAACAGGTGATTATCAACAAAGGATGCCACGCTTATACTCTGCAAGGTGGTGTTCCAGTGGCAAACAGCTGTATAAACTCTTGTAAACAGGTAAGAGGGTTTTTAGAGGTCAAAATGCATTATAATTATTAGGGTGAGGGCTTTTAATGTTTTGGGGTATGTTTCTCTGATTGGAAGTCTTTAGGTACTCTGCTGTTGTTACTAGCTTCCCCTCACCAAAGTGTTGCATTAAAGTTGCAGGCCAGAACTTTTGTTCTACTTGGTATTTTGAGTTTTTTAAGTTTTAAAATTTGTTTTAGACGTTTGAAAAAATTATTTTAATGTGAGAGCCAAAGTATTAAAATCCTGGTTATGGATATGGACCTACAAAAATTTGACGTTTTCTCTTAGCCATAGCCTTCACCCTTAGTGGTGATTTAATGGTGCTGGAAGAACTCAGCTGGTGTAAAAATGTTGCTTATTACAAACACTGATTTCTAAACCTCCAAGTTAAGAATATTTTAGTATGTATAGCAAAAAAGTGTATTATCAGACTGGGAATGACAGATAACTTAGCCAAAATAGTTAATTTTTTTCTTTTTCCACAGGGAGATTTATTTAATTATAAAATTAGGTAGCTACAACGAACTTTAGGAGGTGAATGGGCAGTGTTGAGGAAGATCTAGCTCTTAACCATTTTCATTGTCCATTTAGCCCTGCCAGCCTTCTGAGCCCTTCCAGCCCCTCCCTCCAACATTAATCAAGTGTGAGGCTTTGGCCGCTTAATACAAGCACAGCTTCTTGAATGTATAATACAACTTAGGTTTCCTTGCTTTATTTTAAATGGGATCAAATATTTTGAAGAGAATTTTTCTTTTTCATGAGATTTCATGAGATTTTCATGAGATTTTTCTTTTTCATGAGATTTTTGTTTTTCATCTCTTTCCAAAGGGGAAAAGTGAAGTATGATGGTTTTTACGTTCTCAGTATGTCATTTTCAACAGTTTTTAAAATGTGTGCTTATGAGTTGGTAAATGATCTCTTATGTACATTTCTTTAAACAGTTTATTCCTGTTGGAAATGTTAATTTCCAGTGTGTTTTCTTTCTCTGACTACTGAAAGCCCATTAAGTAGTTTTTACAGTTAGTAAAAAAATATTTAAAATCACTGTGGCAATTTGAGGAAGATTTTGTTACACTCTACATATTTCTCCATGTTTGGTATCTTTCTGAGATCTCAGGCTTCATCTTTCAAGAAGAAGAAAAAATATTGCAGACAGGGCATTTGTTTATTTGTATCTGAAACCATGTCATGCAAAATGGAAAGATACACAGTTTTTTGAAACTACTCATGAAATCATTTTATTTCCAGCTGCACCATGAAGAACAAATATTAATTGGGTTGAGTATTAGATCTAGAGTTCTGGTTTTATAAATTGGAAACTGCCCTTTGGAATTATGTGTGTGGTTTTTCCAGTGTCTTTTGTATGATCTAAATTTAGGGTTCTACTATAAAGGAAATAGTTCCAAGAACACCCCTGAGTTGACTTGTGCTCATTTTGAAAAGTCTGGTTGTATTAAAATTGAAAATGGGGATTACCCTGAGTTTAGTAAAACAACCTAGATTTTATAAATTGCCACGGTAGCTTAAGGCACATTATTATTTACAAGCTGTTTATCTGAGGCAATAAATTTAGTGCTTATGGCTTGTACAGCATCTATTTTTCTTCTTTGCAATAGGATATATGGTTATGGCTTATCTGACCATCACCACCATTTCCCATTCAAGTTTGCTCTTTTTTAAGCTTTCCTGGTTAAAATAGGATTTTTACTTAAAAACTTGGATTATAACCTAGTTATAAGTTCTAAGCAGAGGAGTTTATTGAGTAACAAAATTCCTTCAAACCTCAGACAAGATTGTTGCTAAGAAGCAACCAAAAAGAGATTTTGATTTTGAGGTAAAATTACCTAACATGCTTCTGTACCCAAATGCTGTGATATTAAGCATTCAGGTAGGGTTCCTGTATAAATTAAATGCTGGCTGTATGTTAAGAACTAAGATGCTGAGTATATAGAACAAGGTATCAAATAGTCTCTACCCCTGTCAGCAACTTGTACTCTAATTGGAGAAACTAGATATAAACAGGTAAATAGTTAAATACCAGGGAAAAAAACTTCATAGTTTAAGACAACTATGAGAGATGTCACAGGTCAAATTTGATTAATTGAATTTTTACTGGCCATATGGGTATATGATTGAGTATATGAACTTTAAGCTGGGGTGGTCAAGAAAGGCTTTACCAGATAATTTGTTAGTTAGAGAAGGATATAGAATGGTGGAGGGAGGTTGGGATTGAGATGTCAGGCCAAGAAACATGAATAATAATAGAAGCTGATACATGGAAAAGATGCAGGCTGAGTCTAGAAAACTAGTAGTTGGGTCAACAAAATAGGGAGTCCTGAAAGGCAAGTGAGTTTTAGGCAGGTGGGGAGTGAGGATGGATAATCAGTTGAGGGGTGCTGATGTAAAGCAGCAATACTAATAGTAGTCATTTATTAAATAGCATTCTGCCAAGTCCTCGACAAACATTGTCTCATCCACTTTTCACCACAGACCATAATCGGACAGCTGGTAGGTGATAGAGCCAGGGTTCTAACCAGGCTTTTGTTCTAGCTAGGGCTCTTGGTCACTGTACTGTCATACCTCACTTTTTTCCAGAGGCTGGGATGGGATTAAAGCTGCAAACTTGAGAAAACGTCTGGATAGTGTATTTCATACTATAGTGTATCAGCACTTGAGGTTCTTGGGAAACATACAGGCCCTTGGCTCCAACCCCAGAAATTCTGGGCTTTGTTAGGGCCAACATGGTCCAGGAGTCTCTGTTCTTCTACAAGCCCTCCGGGTAATTCTGATGTAGTCTGTGGTCAGTGGCCATGGGTTGAGCAACACTAACCCACAGAGAGTAGAGTGTTGAAGTTATAAACTTGGGGTAATGTCATATTTAAGGCATGGGAAGGGAAGATGGTGCTAGAAAAGAGGCTCAGGTAGGAGAGCCAGAATAGTGTTCAGATTCTGAAGCTGAGAGGAGCTTCCAGAAGATAAATTCAGAGCTATTGAAGAGACAAGCAGAATGAAACTGCAAATACCGTGGAATTTATTACTTAAAATTGTCACTTAAGTAATAGTTTTATAGTCATGTAATTATATCTCCCAGGAATTCAATCTAGCTTAGTATTTAATTTTACCTTATAACTGTCTGGGAAGAAGTGTTGCTGTTTAGTTTATGAAATGCTAAAGGGGTACCAGAAAAGTTTTATGACTTGGCTGAGGGCTACATAGCCAGAAACTGATTGAGGTATCCTTGAGTTTTCAGTTAATCTAAAAAATAATGTGACTGTAGTCTGTCTTGAAATTGAAAGCGATTGTAGGATTGAGTGATTATATGTGTATGTACACAACGTAAGTTGTTTTCCATCAGTGAACCATCACTTTTCTCTACTACCTCCTAACTAGGTTACTAATAGGATTGAGATACAATGGAATTATAGGTAAAGTTGAGTGTATCTTTGACTTGTAAATGGTTGAAAGATTTCCCATTTTGAATTATCAGTACTTGGTTTGTCTTTGATTGGTGTAACTAATTATTTAATTCTTCAAATATTTAGGTACCTGTTATGTATCAGGTAGTATTCTAGGTCTTGGGAGTATATTGGTGAGGAAAACAGCTCCTTAGGTCTCATGGAGCTCATATTCTGATGAAAGAAGGGAGGTAGTAAACTAAGTTAGGGCCTTGTTGCCAAGGACAAAGGGTTTAGGTTGTATTCTAAAGCTGAATGCAGTGGAAAGCCATTGGGGGTTTTAAGCAGGGGGATGAAGTGATTTGATCAAGATTTGACTACGTGTCTCAGGGAAGTAACA